TTGTAATTATTGTAATTGTCAATCTCAATTCTTCTTTTTGACATTATTAATTAATTTAATTAATTTATGCTTATGCTGTGGTTTTTTTTTTTAATTGAAAATAATATATTAATGAATGAGATAATAATAATGAAATAGTGTTACTGGAATTAGATTTTAGCACAGATCTTTTGGTTGAATCTTTTAATTCCGGGACAATTTAAATTTTATTTCTATTTTTATTATTATTTAATCTATTATTTCATTATTTTTATTATTTATATTTTTTATTAATTCTATTTATTTATCAATAACATGTATAATTATTTATTATCATCTGAATTCGTGTTATGTTTCATGTATTTAATTATTATTATTAATCAATCCATAGCACATTCATATTTATTTAACTTTATTTAGTAGAGATTAGTGACGATTCTTCAAAACAGGCAGATTCGCCCAGGTACAAAGTGAGCGAATTTGTGCAATCTGAGCGAAATGCACAATTCGAGCGGATTCGCTCAAACCAAGTGGATTTGCACAATTTGGGCTAATATGTAAAGAACATGTATATAAAGAACTTGATTTCGACCTAACGTAAAAAGCTACAAGTTAATTGGTTTTGACTAAATAAAACTAAATAAATAAAATAGAAATATTTTATTTAAAACTTTTATCTTTAACCAAAATTATTCACTAATAACAAAATCAATTTGTTGATCCCCTATTCATTCTGATCCACACAAAACAAAATAATTGTTATCACCAATTAAAATACACTCCCAAATTTAATTGGTGACAATAGTAATAATAATAATGAAACAATAATAAAAAAATAAGGTTTTCACTGATCACCAAATAAGTTAACATAATTTATTTTTATTTTTATTTTACATAAACACTTGCATCGATCATTGATTTTTTTAATGTCAAAATTGTTATTTTGCCATTTATTTTTATTCATTTATTAGTATCTATACTAGTTTCAAAAATAATTTTGAGCTTCTAAAGGCAATTATAACATGATGTTGACCCGGGTCAAACCCGACTTGTTTTGGAGCTCTATTCTTGATTAACCATACTATTTGAATAATCTGCTACTTCAATTCCTTTTGCCTAAGTTAAGGAAATTGTTGAAACTATGCAAAACAAATAGCAAGTGCCATTCCTTCTTTAAAGCTTTTATAAGATATTTTTGTGAACAAAAATTTAAACTATATACCAGCCCCTTTTCCATCTTGTGATTCAACTTGGCCAACTTCAATCTTTCTGTTTCTTTTGTTTGTTTCAATTCTTTTTGACATTTTTGATGTTATTTTTCTTTTAAGAAAAAATTCATTTTTTATTTTTTAAAAAAAAGGTATTTGATCAACATATGCGATCTATATTCTTAAGAATATCATCTAATCAAATTCATAACTTATCATCAATATTATTATTATTACCATCATTATTATCAAGATTACTATTATTATTATTAGTTTTATTGTGTTCACAAAAATAATTTTGAGCTTCTAAAGGCAATTATAACATGATGTTGACCCGGGTCAAACCCGACTTGTTTTGGAGCTCTATTCTTGATTAACCATACTATTTGAATAATCTGCTACTTCAATTCCTTTTGCCTAAGTTAAGGAAATTGTTGAAACTATGCAAAACAAATAGCAAGTGCCATTCCTTCTTTAAAGCTTTTATAAGATATTTTTGTGAACAAAAATTTAAACTATATACCAGCCCCTTTTCCATCTTGTGATTCAACTTGGCCAACTTCAATCTTTCTGTTTCTTTTGTTTGTTTCAATTCTTTTTGACATTTTTGATGTTATTTTTCTTTTAAGAAAAAATTCATTTTTTATTTTTTAAAAAAAAGGTATTTGATCAACATATGCGATCTATATTCTTAAGAATATCATCTAATCAAATTCATAACTTATCATCAATATTATTATTATTACCATCATTATTATCAAGATTACTATTATTATTATTAGTTTTATTGTGTTCATGTTCATATTCCCAATTATCATATAAATCTTTATTATCAATCCAACGTTCTTGTACTTCCATAACAGTATGAAGGTTTCCAGGATCGTTTCCAATTGTTGCCATCATAATACTTTCGTTATTAGATGTCAGTCCATTAAATATATAACCATTTGCTCTATCAATTACTTGAATTAGTTGTGATACAGATTTTTTGTCCTTTTTATATATTGGTATTAATATTATATGAGTAAAAAAAAGGAACGAGTGAATAATATTTAATATTATATAATAAACAAAAATTTCTCTTCCACACCCATATCCATAAACAAACCATTAATTATCTCATACCTCAATGCATAATGTATAGAATCCAACCAAACTAAAATCTTCAATTAAGCCACACAATGCTTTATTTAATTCTTTAAATTTGCTTGTAAATGGATCTTTGTCCAATTTTTGTAATAAATATGATAAATCTTGCACTTCAGTATAAAAATTTAAATTAAAAGCTGGTTTATTTATTTTTTTGTCACAAATTATTATATTAGTGAGTAGTAAGTGTGTGAGAAATTAATGACATTAATTTATTTACCTACCTAATTTTCCATAAGATTCCATTAAGTCTATTTTTGATAATACATTTATATGTGGCAATTCTATCTGTAACATTGTTTTAAGTGATAATAGTAATATTGAAATATATTTGGATGGATCTGTGCAATAATGTGCATCTACTAAATGCACCGTCACCAACTAATTAATCAAATTTTGTGCATGAGATATTTTTAATTTCTTAACAATATTATTAATAACATCATTTAATTATAATAAATAATTCGTTAATTTACCCACCCTGTAATCTAATTTTTGTAATTTATCTATAATATTTTTTACTGAATTATGATGTGTGAAAAGTTCAACTTGTCCAGGGAAATCAAACAAAAGATAATCATCTAAAGATCAATAATAAGATATGTATGTATAAACTATTGAAATCAATATTTATAAAAATCTATTGTGATCTCTATTAATTATTATTACCTTTTAATTCTTTTAATTTCTCTTCCAACCAATCAAAATTCACTTCCAAAAATTCCATGCAATACATCATTCCTCCGTTTGGACCTAAATTATATGTTTCCATAACATCCTTTAATGTTATTAGATTTGTAATATTAATTGCGCATTGATATGGTATATGATCATTTGCTGGATCTAGATTTATCACTGATACTTTTCTTTATAATATTATTATTATGTAATTGATTAATTAATTGGTTTGTAAAATAATGAATTAATGAATTGGTGGATTGATTAATATTTTTTACCTTTCAGTTGCTGTAAGAAATTGCTGCATTCCATTACTATAAGTAGTTTTACCTGAACCTGGAGGTCCAATAACAATCTATCAAAATTTAATTCTCATGTGATTAGTATAATTTTTATTTTATTTTAAAAGAATTCTAATTTTTTTATTACTTTACCTGTCCAAACGGCATTATTGTTATTATAATAGTAAATAGTAACAGGTAATAGCAATAGTAATAGTTGACAATCCGTTTAAATAGGATCAGCGGAGGAAATTTACTATAAAACAAGATTTTAGCAGCGGATGCGCATGAAATTTTTCGTGTAACTTTATTATTTATAATACAGAAAATTCGAGATTCTCACATGTGTTAATTACGTTAGCAATGTATACCATTCTAGAACAGAAATCCCAGATAAACCAACACCAGATTGGATAAAATTTGTATGTGTTAGTGATACTCATAATATGGTCAACTCTAAGTACCTGAAGGCGATGTTTTAATATATTTTCTAATAATAACAATGATTGTTATATATGGGGCATGCTGCAACAAAACCAGACAAAGTGAACATTGGTATTACCAAGAATTACAGGGATCAAAATTTAGTCATTTGTAATGTGATTATAATTAGCAATTTTATAATATCTTATTTGTTATCATAAGTGACATTTAGAATTATCCCTATATAAAAATAATAATATGAAGCTAATTTACACCAGATCTACTATGAAACCCAAGAATTATAGAAGGAATAAGGTGAAAAAATTGCTTCTTATATTTTTAAAATAAATTCTCAGACACTGGAAGCTTATCTAAGAAAGGAAAGGATTAATTATGAAATTTACCAAGAAGAAAGAAAAATAATAAACATTAAGAAAAGAAAGCAGGATGAGGATATACAATTACAAAACAAAAGACAGAAGGAAAATAATTTTATTATTATGGTATTTATGCAAAATGTAATACTGCATTGCTTATCAATAAAAAATGTTGTTCGAGTTTTTGAGCAAATTCTACCATAATAACATTTTTAAAAAAATGCTTACATTCAATTGTGAATTTTTTTGCGGGTTGTTAATTGGAGTTTTTCTTGGTTTCTTATTTCACTATAAAACTCAATTCTATATTATCAAATAATCGATAATTTATAAAAATAATATTATAAAGAAAAGTATCAGTGATAAATCTAGATCCAGCAAATGATCATATACCATATCAATGCGCAATTAATATTACAAATCTAATAACATTAAAGGATGTTATGGAAACATATAATTTAGGTCCAAACGGA